CAACTATCTAATGACCTCGTTCGTTAAGACGGGTCAGGGCAGGTAAGACAGATGCTTAGGATATGAAGTGTTTGTTTACCCGTCAGCTGTGTTGTTCTGGTGGTAGATACAACATCTGTAATGATAGAAGGGGTTAGAGCAGGTGTTAATATACACACCTGTCCTAGCAGATGTTAATTAATACACACACCTGTCCTAGGAATGTTAATTAATACACACATACCTGTCCTAGCTATGTTAATTAATACACACACACCTGTCCGTGCAATGTTAATTGACACACACACCTGTCCTTCCATATGTTAATTACTACAAACACACCTGTCCGACCATGTTAATTACTACACACACCTGTCCTAGCAGATGTTAGTTACAAAGGTGAGTATTTATGTATCTAAAAGCTTTATTCTTACACACAAAAAGGGTTAATACCACACCTGTCAAATACAAACACACCTGCAAAATTTACATAACACACTTGCACTTATTTACACATTTAAGAACATACACCAGAGATACCTTTATTTTTTACACACCTGTCAATTCAACTGGACACAACACACATGAAGGTTATTACACACCTGTCAATCATTCACCTGGACAGTCTGCCACATATCTGACTTTATTAATAATATGTCATCCAGGTTTAATATAAAATGTAATTCAGTCGTGTTAAATCCTTCTCCATCACACACACACACACACACACACACACAAGACCTCATTGCAAATCACCCCATGCAATAACCACACCGTAATAACCACAAGACAAGAATAACAATAACATCAACCATTACAGAGTACACCTGCTAATTAACCTGGCAACATGCAATCAAGGTGTGTGATAAGCTTCGTGTGGTGGTGAGGTAGGGTGGGGCGGGGTTAGCTACAGTCTAGATACAGTTAGCCTTTCAACAAGTACAGTCTATATACGGGTACAGTCAACAGGTGAGCAATTACGTGCCTTCCGCCTCTCCCTCTACCAGTTACACACACACACACGCCCTTACATACATACATACATACATACATACATACATACATAGTGGTTGCCCTTCGTGTAACGAGGATGGCCGGCCCTATGGCCACCTAGGCGTGTAGAAGCTGTCGCCAACACAACAACCACACCCTGAGTTAACGAGTTGCATGACCCAGTGTCAAGGAATAGTCCGAGAAGACCGGACAACTCGCCAACTGCACTGGCGAACCATTACCCCGGAACACGATCCGCAAATCGATTAACATCCAGGTCCCCAATTACTACTGGGTAGACAGAGGCAAATGGCGTAAAGAAGCTTGCCCATAGTTTAACCCTGCCCGGGGATCGAACCCGGGTCCACTCGCTTGTGAGGCGAGGATACCGACCATTACACTTCAGGTCGCCACATACATACACGACGTGACCCTCACAGTCGCACGACCACTTCAGCAATTACTCTAAAGCGGAAAGTTTTAACAAGGTGAGAGAGAGAGAGTGTGTGTGTGTGTGGAGGTACGTACAGTGAACCAACCATTACTTCTTCACCCTGTACTCAACACGCCTCACCACCCACACGTACACATAGACGCGCCCACGTGCTCACACACCTATACACACAGACACGCTCACATATATACAGCACACACACACACACACACACACTACCATCAAAGAAGCAAGCACGTGCACATACATGAAAACACGCGCAAATGAGAGAGAGAGAGAGAGAGAGAGAGAGAGAGAGAGAGAAAACGGACCTGCTGACGAAGGCACACCGGAAGGAAACATTGGTGCAGAGAGGGGGGAAGACGAGGGGGTGGGAGGCAGACGATCAGGTGGAGAAAATGTAGGGAGGTGGAGGAAGGAAGAAGATGAAGAAGAGAAAGAGGTAGCAGAGAAGGAGGAAGAAGAAGAGAAAAGGAGAAGAAACGGAGGAGGAAGGGTAAGAAAGCAACATACACCGTGGGAAAAAACAGTGAACCGTGGGAAAAAACAGTGAACCGTGGGAAAAAAAGTGAACCGTGGGAAAAAAACAGTGAACCGTGAGAAAAAAACAGTGAACCGTGGGAATAAAACAGTGAACCGTGAGAAAAAACAGTGAACCGTGGGAATAAAACAGTGAACCGTGAGAAAAAAACAGTGAACCGTGAGAAAAAACAGTGAACCGTGGGAAAAAAACATGCAACGTGGGAAAAACAATAAACAGTCAACAAAATCATGCAGACACAGAACTGTAGGTACAGGTGTGACGAAAGGTAAACAAACCTCAATTAACCTGGAGCTTACCTGATGTTCCCGCTGTGGTATATGCAACACCTGTAAGAGAACCACATTAACGGGGTTAGTACAGGTTAGTGAGGTTAGTTAAATAACTTAATGAATCACACAGCATTTTGAGAGATGTTATTATGTATACCGTAAATCACATTGGTTGGTTTAGGTTAGGTTAGTAGATTAGTTAATTCATGTCAATTACTAACAAACAATAACAACGATCATTACAATCATAAACAACAACAATCCCAACCCAGTAACAACAACCACAAGCATAACCACCACCACCACCCCTACCACCATTACCACTACCAAACGGACTCTCAAAGCTGATTGGGTCTGGAAACAAGCATCTTAACGTTGATTGGATGAGGTCAGTGCAGTGTTGGCAGATGCCCCCAAGACTCTCACCTGACTATGGAAACAGGACATAACGTTTACCTGTGCTAATTAACCTGACAATGGCAACACCTGTAACCCTTCTATTAATTAACCTAAAATACCTGTCTGTTAAATGGTAAGGTTTTGGCCTTAGATGACAGACAGACAGACAGACAGAGCGGTCTGTACGTTTGCTGGCCCACAGACACACCCACACCCACACACACACACACAAACCCCTAGCCTAACACACCCACAAACAGACAGACAGACAGAGACAACAGACAGACACAGACAGTCAGCCAAACCCGTACACAAGCCAGCCTACTAGGGGAAAACCAGTCTCTTCGCATGGATGTGACGCGTTAAAAGTAGATATGTGACAAGAAAGCGGATGTTCTCAAGCCACACAACCCCCACAACCTAATTGTAACACGTACATCCACATACACCGGTAACACGTACATACATATCCACATACACTGTAACACGTACATACATCCACCACACTGGTAACACGTACATACATCCACATCACTGGTAACAAGACCACATACATACACTGGTAACACGTACATACATCCATACATGTGGTAACACGTACATACATCCACATACACTGGTAACGTACATACATCCATACACACTGGTAACACGTACATACATCCACATACACTGGTAACATACATACATCCATACACGTAAAAACGTACATACATCCACACACTGGTAACACGTACATACATCCATACACACCGGTAACACGTACATATCCACATACACTCGGTAACACGTACATACATCCACACTGGTAACACGTACATACATCCACACACTGCAACACGTACATACATCCACACACACCTGGTAACACGTACATACATCCACACTGGTAACACGTACATACATCCACATACACTGGTAACACGTACATACATCCACACACACTGGTAACACGTACATACATCCACACACACTGGTAACACGTACATACATCCATACACACTGGTAACACGTACATACATCCACATACACTGGTAACACGTACATACATCCATATACACTGGTAACACGTACATACATCCACACACACTGGTAACACGTACATACATCCATACACACTGGTAACACGTACATACATCCACATACACTGGTAACACGTACATACATCCACATACACTGGTAACACGTACATACATCCACACACACTGGTAACACGTACATGTACATCCACATACACCGGTAACACGTACACACATCTATGGCTAATAATTGCAACACGTACATACATCCATACACACTGGTAACACGTACATACATCCACACATACACTGGAAACACACATACATCCACATACAATTGCAACACGTATATACATCCACACATTACCCCAACACGTACACACACTCACACACACTGCAACACGTACACACATCCAGTACACACTGGTAACACGTACATACATCCACACACACTGCAACATGTATATACACATTCACACACACTGGTAACACATACATCCACACATATTAATTGCATCCACATACACGCGTACATACATCCACACAACACTGGTAACACGTACAGATCCACATACACTGGCAATGTACATATCCACACACACTGGTAAATATGTACATACATCCACATACACTGAAACACGTACATACATCCATACACTGGTAACACGTATATACATTCACACATTAATTGGTAACACGTATATACATTCACACACTGGTGTAAATACGTACATACAACGCTATACACTGGTAATAAATACATACATCCACATACACTGGTAACACGTACATACATCCACACACACTGGTAACACGCATATACATCCACACACACTGCAACAAATACATAAGACCACATACACGTACACGTACATACATCCATACACACTGGCAACACGTACACACATCCACATACACTGGAAACACGTACATACATCCACATACACCGGGTGCAACACGGCACGCACACACTGGTACCACGTACATACATCCACACACTGGTAACACGCATACATCCACATACACTGGAAACACGTACATACATCCACATACACTGGTAACACGTACATACATCCACATACACTGGTAACACGTACATACATCCACATACACTGGTAACACGTACATACATCCACACACACTGGTAACACGTACATACATCCACATACACTGGTAACACGTACATACATCCATACACACTGGTAACACGTACATACATCCACATACACTGGTAACACGTACACACATCTATACACACTGATAACACGTGTACAGACCATACACACTGGTAACACACATACATCCATACACACTGGTAACACGTACATACATCCACACACACTGGTAACACGTACATACATCCACACACACTGGTAACACGTACATACATCCACATACACTGGTAACACGTACATACATCCACACACACTGGTAACACGTACATACATCCACATACACTGGTAACACGTACATACATCCACACACACTGGTAACACGTACATACATCCACACACACTGGTAACACGTACATACATCCACACACACTGGTAACACGTACATACATCCACACACTGGAAACAGTACATACATCCACACACTGGTAACACGTACATACATCCACACACTGGTAACACGTACATACACACTGAAACACGTACATACATCCACACACTGGTAACACGTATATACATTCACAACACTGGTAACACGTACATACATCCACATACACTGGTAACACCTACATACATCCACATACACTGGTAACACGTACATACATCCATACACACTGGAAACACGTACATACATCCACACTGGTAACACGTATACATTCACACACTGTAACACGTACATACATCCACACACTGGTAACACCTACAACCCACATACACTGTAACACGTATACATCCACATACACTGGAAACACGTACATACATCCACATACACTCGGTAACACGTATATACATTCACACACTGGTAACACGTACATACATCCACACACACCGTAACACGACATACATCCATCCACAACACGGTAACACGTACATATCCATACAAATGCACGTACATACATTCACACACACTGGTAACACGTACATCCATATACACACTGGTAACACGTACATACATCCACATACACTGGTAACACGTACATACATCCACACACACTGGTAACACGTACACACATCTATACACACTGATAACACCACATATACATTAATAAACATTCGCACACATTTATACACATTCCCACATACACACCGGCACATACACATTGATACACATTCACATTAACTCATTGTAGATAGCGGACACAAGGAATAAATTAATAATGGTGGAAATTAGAGACAGACAGACAGACAGACAGACAGACAGACGATAGATAGACAGACGATAGACAGACAGACGCACGAAGCGACAAACACACACACACAAAGCCACACGAAACGACACATACACACACGCACACACATGCACACACGCACACACGCACACACACACACACACACACACACACACACACACACAGACAGACAGACACAATCCCATAATCTTCATTGGTTTTATGTTCAGGGGATAAAAAAATATTAAAATACAGCAGAAAAAATGTTGATGCGATATTCACATTGTTATTAGAGAGAGAGAGAGAGAGAGAGAGAGAGAGAGAGAGAGAGAGAGAGAGAGAGAGAGAGAGAGCACACCCACCATCATCAGGTAAGCGCCATTCATCCGTGTTACCTGTCCAATGACCAATCACGACACCATAACCTGTGCCCACTCCACCCCCCGGCACTTACCCCATCACTTCTTTGGCACTGACCCATCCCTCTTGGCACCCGCCCACATTGGTACTAACCAATTTAACCTATTCAAAAAACCTAATCTAAGCTAACCTGACCTAATTTAACTTAACGTGACCTAATGTAACCAAAACTAACTAACCTAATCTGACCTGGCATGACCTAACCTATCCTAACTCGACCTGACTGACGTAACCTAACCTGAACATTCTCTCTCACAAACAACAGTCAATTTCACCTCAACAAAATTTTCACACCTAACGTAATCTAATGTAACATAAAATAGAGAGAGAACACACACACACACACACACACACACACACACACACACACACGGGTGGGGGGAGACCCAGGTGGCACAGGTAACTAATTAAGGAGAGGGAGGAGGTAGGTAGGCCGCGTCCACCACCTGAGGCTGCAGGTAGCCAATAACAGGTGAATCATCGTCTTTGTTACCTGGCCTGGAGGAGAGAGAGGAGGGAGAGAGAGAGAGAGAGAGAGAGAGAGAGGAGAGAGAGAGAAAACAAAAAACCACCACACACACAATATGAAAGGTCAGACACCACAACCCACCCAAGAGAGGACTTAACCCTCAATATAACACTCACGTCGATATAACGAGGCCCACACGAGAATTGACGAACACGGGGGGTGCATGGGGAGGAGGGGAGAAGGAGGGATAAGGGGAGAAGGAGGATGAGGGGAAGGAGGATGAGGGGAGAAGGAGGGGATGAGGGGAGAAGGGGAGGAGGAAGACGTCAACGAAGAACACGAGGAGGAGGAGGAAGATCACCAAGTAAAACCAAAACAAACAAACAAACAAACAGACCAAGCCGACAGA